GCTCTTTTCTGACCACACTATAAGATTTCCATTTGCTTTTCCCCTACTTCTGGAAGTCTAGTGGGGAAGCAGTTGGCCCAGGAATACTTCTGGCCCTTTTCCCCAGCCCAGAAAAATGGAAGGACTCTGACCTCTGCTTCTTGGAGCAGGAGGTAGGGAGTAAGATATTCTCCACCCAGCCCTCATTCATTCCTCCAAATATTTAAGGAGTTCAATAAATATTTACTGAAATGCCTACTGTGTACCAGCATTGTGGTAGGTGTTGGGGATCCAGATATGATCAAACATAAATCTGCCTTAAGAAGCTCAAAGGCAAGTAAACAACAGACAATTACAAAACTGTGATAAGAGCAATGATAACATTGTTGAAGCAGAGAGGAGGGGCATCTGTCCTGACCTGGGCTCAGGATCCTTAGGAAAGGCTTCCTGAAGTAGAGGGCATCCAAGCCAAGTGTTTTTGGAGGCCTCTTTGTTATCTCAGAGAGTCCACATTCAAGTCTCCTTCCTCCACTGATGGATCTCTCCTCTACGTCCTAGAGGGGCTTGTCTTTGGAGGCCCTGGCTGTGCTCTACAAGTGATCCCCCAAGGCAGGTGAGGAAACTTGTGGATTTGGTGAGTTTGAGCTCCTGTTACACATGTTCACATGCAGCCACATGTGTTCACACTGACCAGGTCTCTTTCCAAAGAGCCCCTGACCTCAGTCAAGGTTTGCAGATCTGGGAAACCATCTTTGCAGCCTTGTTCACATTTGATTCTCACAACAGCTCTAGGAGGAGGGCAGACCTGAGGTTTCTGTGCAGTTTAAAAATAAAGAGACTGAGGTCTAAAGGAGGGGACGGTATGAGCAGGCCCCAAAGCTAGGCTATGGTAGAGCTGCTGCTAAAATCCTGGTCTCCTGGCACCTAACCCCAATGCTCTTCCCCCACCCTTGCCCCCAAATCTTTACTGTTTCAGTAGAACCCTGTCCCCTGGACAGTCTCCAAACAAGTATTAAAACAGGGGCAGGAAAGTTAACAACCCCCAGGACTCTGTCCACTTGTTTTTCAACCAGAACCAGGATAGACCCTTTTGTTGGGAGCAGGGGTAGGGGCTGGACCCCAGAGATGTCTAAAGTCTCTTTCTAGATCATCTTACCTGCAGGTTTCTGATCCCTGGTACAGAAGAGGCAGTTATCTGGCCATGTACTTTGAGCCCCATGCTAGCTTTTGCTTTGAACAGGCCACTGGTGGGGCTACAAGTGCCGAGGTCACCAAAGCTGACTCCAAGTTCCATCACCCCATCAGGTAAGCTTCTGGCACCAAACTCAGAACTTGACATAAGTTCATTAGCTCTTCAAATCCTCACAAGAGCCCTGTGTAGCAGGAGGAGGGAGGCATTGCTATGACCACTATCTCATAGACCAGAAAACTGAAGCCCAGAGAGGTTAGGGATTTTGCCAAAGTTGCCTTCCCTGGTGGCATTGTCAATGACACCTAAGAATGAGTCCTTATGGACAGGTCAGTGAAAGAAGCCTTAGTAGGAGATGGAGAACAGAGGAGAAATCTACAGAATTATTGGCTAGAGGGCTTCTGAGGTGGGGGTGGGATCAGTGTCAGAATTGATAGATATTGGGGTTGAGGCTCCCCACAGTTATAGGCCCACCATATATTACCTTCCTGTCTGCGGCTATTTTGTAACAATTCAGAAAATTCTTTTACAAAGCTCTCTTTCTTCCTTTCTCTCTCACACCATTACTGTAGGTAGGACAAGGAGTTTAGCGTCTGGCTTCTTCCATGGTCCTGCTGACCCCTCTACACATATGAGACCTGTTTAAGTTAGGGGCCATATTTCTTCTCTGTCCACAGGCTCTTCTGGCCCAAATCCCGCTCCTTTGACTACCTATACAGTTATGGGGAGATTTTACTGCAGAACTTCCCTGTCCAGGCAACCATCAATCTGTATGAAGACTCAGACAGCGAAGAGGAGGACAACTGTGAGGAAGAGGATGGGGACGAAGAGCAGGAGAAAAAGGAGGCAGATAAAAAGGGGCCAGAAGGGTGTTTGAGGATACTAAGGTCAGCACCACACAGAGTCACAAGTCATCCTCCTTCCCCATCCCTGACCTGTCCAAGCTAAGCCAGAGTCTGATTAGGGTTCAGTATGCCTGGCAAGGCCTCAGGTCAATTACCAGGAATCTCTAGGCACAACTCTCTGGATTGAAAGTTGGGTCCTCAGTCACCAGTTTAGGCTGGCTATACCCACCTGTGCTGTGAGCCCAGGCCTCTGGCATCTCATTGTCTGGGTTGCTGCAGTTTTGACAATGGGAGGGTATTAGCAGCTCTAGGGGAAGGAAGATCTGCTTTCTGAAGCCCCCAGGAAGCAGATCAGGACACAGCATGCCCATGTAGAGGGGAATAGCCACTCTTCAGGGCTCTTTGACTCCCTGGCCTTCTGGGTGGCCACATAGTTCTGTCTCCTCATGGAAAAACTGACTTCGGGCTTCACCTCCAGGAATACCAACACCAGATCCAAGAAGAGTTGTAATGCTTTTCTGATGGGCCTTGCAGCAAGAGGAGGGTGCATCTAGACAATCAGCTTGCTTTGGGGACTTCTCCTCATTTTGGCTGTTATCCACTGGGGTCTCTGTTGGCATAAGATGAATCAGGAGAAAAATAAACTAAATGATGTTTGCCTTTTTCCTGTAACTGTGCTGATTTCTTAACTGAACTCTGTTCATGTTGTGAGGCCATGGGCACAGGGTCAGAGACCAGCTCAAGGCCAATTCATTGCTCTACCTGAGGTCAGTTTACAGATGAGGATGTAGGGCCAGGGCCAGGCCCTCTCTGTCAACGTGTGAAATCAGGCTAGACTAAACTTCAAAGATAGATGGAAAAGGAACAAAAAGGCCTCCAAAGTGTAACCTGAAAATAGGGAGTAGGGCAATGGGTTGGGGTGGGGGGTGGGTGAGAGATACAGCCTTAGTTCAGCCTTGTAGATGAGTGTGTGCATATGAGGAGGAGAGCTTGGGGGACTACTCAGTCCTATCAATTTTACTTTCACAGTTCAGGCTCTCATGCCTTACCCCTGCCCCAAATACTTGTCAACTAATTTTCATGCCTTGAGCATGTTCCTCTGAAATTCATCCTCCACAGTGGCCACCAGATCAGATCATGTTGTGCTGCTGCTTAAAGCCCTACTATGGCTCTTCACTGCCACACTAACAGTTGAAGACGTATCCTTTTAAAAAAAAAAATCACAGATTCTCTTGAGAATCTATGGATTCTCTACTCATATATTCAAAAGTCAAGCCCTTAACTTGATATTCCAAGCTGCCCAATTGTTTGGTTGTTAACAGTCTCTCTTTCTTAAAAATTTATTTTTATTAAAATATAGTTGCCATACAATATTATATTAGTTTCAGGTGTACAAAATGGTGATTTGACATTTATATTCCTTAGTATGTGATCACCACAATAAGTCTAGTACCCATTTGTCACCAAAGTTATCATGATATTATCAACTATTTTCCCTATGCTGTACACTATAACCTGTGACTTATTTTATAACTGGAGGTTTGTATCTCTTATTCTCCTTTAGTTGCCTGTCTCTTCAGACTCATCTCTCAACACTTGAAGCGTATGTTGCCTGTCTTTGAATATATCCTGCTTTCTATCACCTCTGTAGCTTTAAGTCTCTGTGTGGAATGCTCTTCCACTTTTACATGTCTGATAAACTCCCATTCAACCAATAAGACTAGCTCAGATACCTCTCCTGTGAGAAGCCTCCCAGACCCCCAAGTTTAGGTTGGGTGCCCCCATTCATTCAGTGCCTCCCTTACCATAGCATTTGCCCTCTTCTTATGAAGTAAGATATCTATGTGACTTCATTGCACAGCACACTGCCTAGCATGAAGCAGGCACTCAGGAAATGTTGAAAAAAAAGATTCTAAGGTCTTTTTAAAGCAGTTCTTGACAGAACCACCTATGTCCCCTCACTTGCTGGTTTCCCATTTCTTTGCTTAGCTGCAAACAGGACAGAGTATTGTCATCTGATTCAAGAATAAAATGCTGGCCATCTTTCCTTCCTTCTTCAATCAAGTTGTGACAGGCTGCTTCAGTTCTGAGCCCTGCTGAGGCTTCCCTGAATTGGACCCAGCCTTGAGTAGGCAACCAAATTCATACACTGGTGCCATCTATTGGTGGAAATTTAACCTTTTCCTTAATACTGCCAGGCAGTTGACCTTTGACTGCTATAATCCCTTTAGTCCATTCTGTTTGTGCTTGTAAGTAAAGTGGAACCTACCGTATGCTAGCTTTATGATCTGGGGCAAGTTACTTATCCACCCTGAGCCCGTCTCATCTGTAAAATGGGGGAAATGATACTTCCTCTCAGGGTTGGTGTGGGGATTCAGTGAAATAATATATGTAGGGTACTTAGCACAACCCCTAGCACATAGTAAAAGCACTCAGCAAGTGGTTGTAGTCATAGTAATCATAGTTGTAGTAGTGGTTTTATTAATTTTATAACCGAAATGAGCTTACAGGCTCAAGTCAGCTAATGACTGCTTTACTCAACTAATGACTGATTTGTCAGTCATTTCCACCTGCTCTCCCTGGCACCACTTGATGGCTGACCATTCAAAGCATCTTTGCAGTGTTTGTCCCTCATTAAAAAAGATAACACAAAACAGAGGCCAAATGTGGGTTCCTGGGACAGAGGATTCAAAACTTATTTTTTGTGCTTTAGCAGAAACACTCTTCTTTTGAATTGAATGTAGAAGCTCCATATACAAACCAAATAGGAGCTGTCCTGGTGGAAACTACAATGGAGGGCACAGAACTCCCACCATGGTGTCCTCTCCCTTGTAAACGAAGTCTCTCCATCCCCTTCTGTGAGGCACCTGCCAGGGATTCCTAGATTGTGGGGAAGACTATTTGGAATCCACTGTTCCAAGGGTTAAAATAAGATTGATCTGAAGTCTAATGGGGATTAGTATTTTAACATGTTCAGTGTTCCGTTTAAAATTCTTGCTTTGCGTTCTAAGCTCCCAGTATTTCATAGCTCAAAAATTGCTCCAGTCCTCCTCTGTACACATGGTTGCTAAGTAATTGGAATTCACTGTTCTGACTAATCAGAGCCCAGTGTGAGTTACTTATAACAACTTCAAAACCAGTGTGCAAACCCAGGAGGAAAATCTCTGTGCAAAACCCAGAGTCCTTCTTTCAGCTCCACCCTAGCTGGCTCATCCTAGTGACCAATACTTCATACCCCAGCACTGATGCCTCCTGTTTCCCCCACCCCATAGTAACAGAGAGAGGGCACATCAGTTGAGCATGAGGCTGCATTTGAGCTGGATCTTGAAGGCTGGACCCAGCTAGAGATGGAGGGAGAAAACTTCCCAGAAAGAAGCAGCAATATGAAATCTCTAATTAAACAAATATTTATTGGGCACCTACCCTGTGCCAGGAATTAATATTGTAATAATTAAGACCATGGGCTTTGGAGGCAGAAGTACCTGGCTTCAAATCCCGTATCTGCCACATGCTGGCTGTATCCATGGGCCTGCTCCTCTCAGGTCAGGTGTCAAGGTCAGCTCTCTGCTCTCAACCTTCTCACTACCAGCTCTGCAGTCCCTTATTATATCACACACACACACACACTGCACATACTCATTAAATGTTCCTATTCTCCTCTGTCTCTGGGCAAGGAAAGCCCCCTCACCTACCCCAGTGGGTATTACCAGTCCCACCTCTCATTCCCACCCCCAACTGTGCCTGTGTGGTTTTCTAGTGGGCAGTTTCTCTCCCTTCCACCCCAGGCCCTTGTTGTAAAATGTTTGCCAATTCTCTTCCCAAACACGGTTGCTAGGTGGCCTGAGTTCACTGTCTTCACCTGTCAGGGGCCTGGTGTTGGTTACTGTGTTTTTGGTTTACTCCCAGTTGGCAAGACTTGTGGCAACCTCCATGCAAGCACACAAACCCAGACACAAAAACCTGGCATAGAGTGAGTGCTTAATAAGTGGTAGCTACAATACTCTTTGCCAGGCACTTGCTACTCATGTTACAGTGATGATCTTCTATGGTACTTAAGTCACAACAATCCTAGAAGATAAGCCCATTTATGAATGAGAAAAATAAGAGTTAGCAAGGTTTTTGTACATGGGTTTGTGTGGTTGCATGGAGGTTGCTACAAGCCTTTCCAGCTGCGGGGTAAACCAAAAAACACAGTAACTAACCCCAGGCTTATGACAGGACAGAACAGTGAACTTGGGCTACCATTTTACAACAAAGGACTGGGGAAGACAGAAGACAAACTGCCTATTGGATAACCACACAGGCACAGTTAGGGGTGGGTGGGTAGGAGTTGATAACACCCACTGAGGTGGAAGAAGGGGTTTTCCCAGTCCAGAGGAGACTAGGCAGTGTGGTGGCTAGGAGGATAAGAGTTATAACAACTGATAATTGTCGAATTCTTACTATAGATTTGGGTGCATGACTAGGAACCTTAAATGGATTAACTCATTTACTATAACAACTCAGGTATAGCTACAGTTAGGGAGACTGAGATTTTGAGGGTTTTCAAAAACCATGCCAAAAATCACAGAGCTGATCATCTCTATCACCTTCTAAGTGTGAGGCACTTTACCTGTAGTCCTCATTTTTTTTATTGATGATTTTTAGAGAGAGGGGAAGGGAGAGAGAAACATTGATGTGAGAGAGAAACATTGATTGGTTGCCTTCCATACTTGCCCCAACTGGGAATCAAACCCTCAACCTTTTGATGTACAGGAGGGTGCTCCAACCAACTGAGCCTCACTGGCCAGGGCTACCTGTATTCATTTAATCCTTACAACAATCCTTGAGACATAAGAACTAGTATTATCCTCATTTTATAGGAGAAAACTGAGATTCAGGGAGGTTAAGGAATCTGCTCTAGGTCACACAATGCATAAGTGGCTGAGCCATGATTTGAGAGATGCCAGCATTTGCTCTAGGTTACACCAATGATAAAAAGCAGGACAGGATTCAGGTTCAACTCATTTCAGGAAGTAGAATCTACAAGGCTTAGTGAAGAAGTAAGTATCTTGGAGGACAGGAGAGAAAATGTTGCAGTTCTGGCTGGAGGGAAGCGAGTCAGAGATTAGGAATAATTCTGGGCCAGGAAAGGCTGAAGGGCCACTGAAGGGTGTCACCAAGGGAGGGATGTTTGGGGGCCTCCTGCAGGGCAGTAACAGGCTCTCACAGAACCTAGGCTGCAGTATAGGGTTACCAGAGGAGAGGGGCCAATGAGGGACTTCTCCTGTTCCACTC